GGCGCATATCCACTTTTGGCCACCCCTCAGTGTACATTGGTTATTGCCTGGCCACCCCCATAAAAATTTTCTAGCTACGCCTCTGCTCCTCTTAAAGACATTAAAGACATTTCATCCCAGCGCTGTGTGTCCCGAGCCCATAACATCATCAATGACCCCTCCCACCCCTATCATGGACTGTTCTCTCTGCTGCCCTCTGGGAAGAAGCTTTGAAGCAATCGATGCAGGTCCAGCAGATTCCAGAAGAGTTTCTTCCCCACTGCCATTAGACTGCTGAATGTTTTTTAAAATTGGTTATTTTTTTTTATATTCATCCATCCCTTTTCTTACATGCTTAATCCCAAGTGGGGTCGCGAGGATTGCTGGTGCCTTTCTCCAGCTGTCAATGGGCGAGAGGCAGGGTACCCCCTGGACAAGTCGCCAGTCCATCGCAGGGCAAAACAGAGACAAACAGGACAAACAACCATTCATGCACACACTCACACCTAAGGACAATTTAGAGAAGCCAAGTAACCTAACAGTCATGTTTTTGGACTGTGGGAGGAAGCCGGAGTACCCAGAGAGAACCAAATGTTTATATTACTATTTTTTATGTATTTATTACTGTTTTCAAGTCTGCACTTTAAAAAATGAAATTGTCTAGAGCTGTTTTAAACGACATTTCTTTTTGTATACATACTTTAGTATACAAAATAAGCAGGTGAAATGTACTTCACCGATTCAAACACTAGATGGCGCTCAGATTCTTGAAGAATCCCCCTTAACGTTAGCTAAACACGCACCAAATGTTACTGAATCTGAGCGCGTGAGACATTGCAAACTTTGACCTCAACATAATTTTTCTACTGTATGCGTTTTTTTTAATATCGTTTAATAGTGTATTCTATTTAATTTTTTATTGGAAATAATTAGAACGTTATAATGTGTTGCGTTTGATTGAGGAGGAAGGGAGAGTATCGTCCAGCCAGCTATAGGGTTTTGAGCTGCCTGCCTGCTGGAGAGAATCCATCCCAGAAACAAACCGCCCCCTCCCACTCTGAACGCCCCCGCTTCAGATGGAACTCAAAATACATTAATCCTCCATGTTGCACAGGGAATGTCGGGCCACCAGATGTGAAACGCCGTTTTAAAAAGTCCGGTCGAGCAACTTGTTAGTAATTAATGCGCGTTTTTGGACGGACACCAATTCCCTTTAACGGGCTTCCGAGTGTTTTCAGCGCTGTTCCAGACTCGGCCTCGTATTGGATAATCGATGCTAACAGGCTAACGCTAGCTGCTTGCCGACCTAACTTAGTTTGGACTTTAAGGTCGGGTTTTATTTCATTTTTTACACATATATACATATATATTTGGACAGCGGCATTACTGAGGCGGCTGATAATTTCTTGCTTAAAGCGAAATATATTTTTTTCTTTCGGACAGCCATAAATGACATCCTCCAGTCAGCGCCGTGCTAGCTGGCTGGCTCCAACCGCTGCTCCTCAGACGGTTTCCTGGCTTTGTGGCCACAGGCTGCTAGCTTAGTGGAGCTAGCTACAACGAAGCGGGCGCGTTATCGCGAATAACATTGCTGCAAAACGAAACAGGAATAAAAACCCGTCTCAATGGACCACATGTCCATAATAACTCAAGTCCCCAACCCGAAGGAGGAGGAAATAATATCTTTCAACCAAGAAAAAGGTAAGGAGGACTCTACTAAAGGAATAGATGTGTGTAACTTCTTTTATTTGCGTTTACTGGTTGTTGTGAAGTCACTGAGCTTTGACAGCTCTATCACAACAGCTGCAGAGTAATTATTATGTACGCAACAAGCTCAGTTAGCCGCCCTCTGTTTGGACCTCAGGTTTAGCTTTATTTTAAGTGCCATAAAAGCACTCTGATGAGCTTTTTTTAACCTTGAAAGTTGCTCAAAGTGAACACTGAGTGTTTGCAGGGTAACACTTAACGTGCTTTATGTGAATTATGGATTAATAAACGGCTTATCTAAGTGTATCACAAAAAAAACGCTAGAATGTAAATGACGGAGGAGGAGAAGGATGTAGGGATGCATTTTAGTGATGGGAAAACATACCATTTTACTTAACTACTTCTGATTTGTACCTTACATTCATAATTACATTCATAAATTCATTATTATTATTATTATTATTATTATTATTATTATTATTATTATTATTATTATTATTTCCATATTCATCTAGAATCTTCCCCATGTCTTAATTTACTCAATAATTTTATTTAGGTTTTAGAATGAGATAAAGGTCATAGATCTAAGCTTAAAGTGAAATATGTACCTTTTTTTTTCTCTCTCAGTGACCCTGCAACACTTTTATGTTCTCTCTTCTATGTTTATACTCAAGAAAGTTGATCATAGATTAGATTAGTTTCAACTTTATTGTCATTGTACAGGTACAAGGCAACAAACTGCAGTTTAGCTCTAACCAGAAGTGCAATAGCAGCAAGTACAGGATATACAAAGCTATTGATTATCTCAGCTAATGAGTGATATGTTTCATTTACCGGTATAAAAAAAAAAGGTAGATGCATTGTTATCATGGAAATGGAAGAGTGTGGAAAATGTGGGATAGACATAAGCAGTTTTTGTTTTATCACTATTTCATTTTTTGTGTGTGTGTGTGTGTGTGTGTGTGTGTGCATGTTATGCTCCATGTAAATGTTTGGCTTAACACCTTTTATGGTATTTTGGAATTAACAATAATAATATTGATATTATACACTAAGCCTGGTTCTGCTGGAGGTTTCTTCCTGTTAAAAGGGAGTTTTTCCTCTCCACTGTCGCTACAAGCATATTTGGTGTGAGGGATTGCTTTTTAGTCAATGAGTCGACGCAATCAACTGGTTTTTCCTTAGATAGAAAACTTTGGATCGACTGTATGATCTGTCGAACTGTAGAGAGCCTTGAGATGACACCTGTTGTGAATTGGCGCTATATAAAAGAACTGAATTTAATAATAATAATAATAATAATAAGTCAATGATCTCAACTCCAGATAGACCTTCAATTATGTTCTGGATCAGTACCGGTGTCTCTGTTTTAAATGGGAACATAATTTTTTTGTATTTAAGATCACCAACCCTGTGGTTTGGCTTCATAGATGCCTGTGGCCCAACGTGAAATACTTTTTTCTATTTTTTTAATACTCTTTGGAGGTTTAAAAACAAAACCTTCAAGCACTTATCGTAAATATACATTAGATGTACATAATGGAAAATAACTGCTTTACAAAAACTGTGCATATCAGAGTCTGGAAAATATTAATATATTGCAGGTGCAATGTAGCTACATATCATTTCATAAATGATAACTCAAGTTTACACTCCCAAGTTCCTTTCATATTTGTTTGTTTCTACTTTAAACTGACTCCTTTTTATCGTCAGTTGTTTTGTTATAAATAGCCAGTCACCCAGTGAACTCTAAAGATAGTAAAAAAGGGGCTTTTACACTTTAGAAACATTATATTTTTCAGGTAAGTAAAGATCGGCTCTGATTGTTGTTTGGTAACTTTGCTCAAACACAGGTGTTACCTTAGTGTGGGTCAGTAGTAGGGGTGAGTATTTGCATGTGTGTTGCGATACGATACGTGTCACAATACTTGGGTCACAATATGATATTATCACAATATTGCAATATTACTATGTGATATATAGATAAAAATTCAAGTGCTCTATATGTTAATCAGAATCAATGTTGTTTCTGGTTTGAGTCAATCCACGTCTTCTACTGTGAATTTCTTAACTACAGAAATGGTGCTGCACAGCAAAAATGCTCCAAGGTGCAGAGGCCCATTTTCACTCACTGTTTTTGGTAAAAAAAATTATTATTACTTTTTTTTTTTAAATTGATATTAGGAACTGAAAGATCAATATTGTATTGGGAAGCCGAAAATCACAACATGTCGCCAAATCGATTTTTTCCCCCACCAGCTAATCAATAGCTTATGTTACTGTTTTATCAGATTATTAGTAAAGTGAGAACTAAAGTTATTTGGAGCACAACAGTGTATTTTTCTCTGAGAGTACGCATTGATCCATCAGTATCTAAGGTGTGACTGGTACGTGTCTGGACTTCAGAGATGATGATAAGAGGTATGTGAGACTTTAGGAAGATTAACATTGCAGGTGGGATTAAGCTTAAGACAATTTCTCACTTTATGAAAAGGCGATAGACCGGCTAGTAACTTACTGTAAGGCAACATGTAGAGACTAGTATTTTCCAAGGAAATGGTATTAGTCTTTTTTTTTCTTGAATCGATAACATGAAATATTCAAATTTTATTAATTAGTTTTTTCCCCAGACTTTTTTTTCATCATCAAATGTATAACATCAGAGAAGCTGTTCTGTTTACTGCCAGGTTGAGTCAGAGTTTTTGGGAGCAATTAAAAACTGTTTTATGTTTTTTGTAACCTGCAGTCAAACATTTTTTTAGAAAAATTAAAAGTCAATTAAAGTTTGATAATTGCCAAGTAGAAGGCAGGAAATATTCACTCATTGATTTGTAAAGATCAAGCTTTAATGTGATTGGAGTTGTATTGTTGTGCTGGTCCTTTAGTCTCTGTTTTTTTTTTCTGCTGTTCTTAGTTAGGGTTTGTGTCAGACTCAATTTATGACGCAGAGCTTTCTAACACCAGACGTATTATACTGACCATATGTTTACAAGTCTGCTGTAAAAAAATGTGGTTATGTGACTCCAGTAAGTCTTATCTACCAGCTAAAGGTCATTCTGTTGTTTTGATTTGATCAGGGGTCAGAATCTCTCTTTTTTTTTTTTCTTTCTCCATAGTGGACAAAAAGCCAAACAACCACCCAAACATTTGATGGCAATAGAGATAAGGGAAAAAAGTCTCTAGATGACTAAAGCACAGTGAACATTTTAAGGGAGATAGTATTATCTTTTTATTTAACATATGTAGCTTATAAGAAAAGTGAACTGATATACAAGGGTTAATTACATCGATACAAAATGGCTTCAAATGGATTTGGAAATTTGGGTTCAAAGGGGCAAATTGACGCAGGAGCCGTCACAGTGCACACAGACTGTTTGGACTCACAGTTGTGCTGTTTGAAAATAGCACCTAACTAAGAGTGTGTAAAGCTGGACACAGTTAGGGGACAACATTCCTACCTTTCAAAGCTCCTTTTTTCTTTCCGCAGTGAGTCTTCCAGCTTTCTCTGCATGGAGTAAGTTGCCATAATAAAAAAATATCAGACTTGTTTTAGAGTTTGTTTTAAAAAGGTATAGTAAACTTAATATAATTTATTACAACTTTGTTTCCTGTGATGTAAAATGTGTCTGACATTAAAATGGTTCCTTTTCTAAATATACATGGCCTTTTGTATCCAGACAAACACTGACAACCTTTGCTCTTAATCATACTGCATGTGCAAGGTGGGGATTATGTATAAAAAAGAGCAAATAGTTGTATTTATGTTATGTTGGAGTTTTTTTTTTGTTTTGTTTTTGGCAATCTTAGAACAAACTTGTAGTCTTCTCCCGGAAAAGCCGATAAATTTTAGAAAAGGGGTATTTATGGATATCTGACTTCAGTGAGAACAGAGCCATTGAATGCTGTTTAGTAAACTTGGTAAACTGCAAACTTTTTGTTGTGTTTTTTTCTTTTAAAGAACTGTCATATAGAGAGCAAATGAATGATCTTCTGCAGACTCTTCTGCTGTAATCCAGTCATTCTGTGGGATTCTGACGAGCTGTAGATGAATGAATACTGTAGTGATGACTCACTGGAAGGGGACAGCTGCCTCACTTTCCCAGCTTTATTTTCTGCAGAGTTGAGACTGAGAGTCCAGTTGGATAAATAAAAACCTCTTTTTCCTGATGGAGGTTATTTTCAGGTTAAAAGGCTTACTATGGTTGGTTTTCACTTTCTTCTCTCTTCCCTATTTTTTAAGAATTTACTTTAGATGTTAGTAAACATCATCTAGAAAGTATGAAGAAGCTTAACAGAACATGCTTCTGCTTTAGGTTTGTTGACACACCTACATCAGCTCGAAGTTCTTGCTCCCTCAGATTTATTCTGCTAATTTCCTTCACACTTAAAGTCATAGGGAAGACACATTTAAATGTCAAATGATTCTGGCTTGAACATGTATATAAATGTACCGTATTTTCACGACCATAAGGCGCACCGTACTAAAAGGCGCAGTCTCAGTTATGTGTCCCATTTCTGTATTTAACACACACATAAGGCGCACCGGACTATAGGGCGCGTTTTTTATATACAGGTACATTTCCTCTACTACCTTTAAATATCTCTACTGCGTATTTAAAAATAGAGCGGGAG